GCCATCCAGCATGGTAAGCTCTCTGATTTTTTCGTAAATGAACGCGGAGGCAGGCAAGGGGACCCTCTATCACCGTATCTCTTTATATTTGTCGCTGAAATACTTGGTTGTATGATTAGAAGTAATGAGAACATAATAGGTATTGTTATCGACAATAATGAGTATAAATTAAACCAATATGCAGATGATACGGAACTATTTCTTGATGGAAATGAACAAAGCCTAAAGGCTGCTATTGATGAAATTAATACATTTTATAAAATGTCAGGACTTAAAATAAACATTGATAAGACAAAAGCTATATGGATTGGCTCAAAGAGTAATAGTATGGATATACTATGTAAAGACATTAAGATAGAATGGCAAAGGGTCTGTTTGAAGTCTTGGGAATTAAATTCCACACAGATCTCAACAGCTTGTGGGTAATCAATACAAGAAAAAGACTAGATGAGATAAATAGATTGCTTTCACAATGGAGGAAAAGACACTTGACACTGATTGGTAAAATAACTGTAATAAAAACTTTGGCTTTATCAAAACTTGTTCATATATTCAATACTCTGCCTAATCCCCCTAAAGACTTCATTACTTCATTGGAGAATATTTTTTTCAAATTCATATGGAATGACAAACCTGATAAAATCAAAAGGAATAATTTAAAAAGAGTATACAAAAATGTTGGTTTAAGGATGGTTGACACTGTAACTTTTTGTGAAGCTTTAAAACTAGCTAACCTGAGATTATATTGTAGAAAAACAACAGTTGAAAATCCCTGTAATATTCCTTTTGATACCATTTTAAAATCTGGTGCAAATGTTGGTTCAAGTAACTCTCATCGATAATCCTTACTGGAAGGATGTATTGAAAGCTTGGAATAAATATTGTAAAAAAAGTCATGTGAACGCAGGTAATATTTATGAAATCCTAGCCCAACCACTATGGTTTAACCATAATTACAAAAACCCAACACACTACAATAAAAACTGGGCAAGTAAAGGCATTCTTACAATTAAGGACCTGTGTAACGAAACTGGATTTTTATCCTTTGACAAGTTGAAGGAAACATATAGTATTAAAGGCACATACCTGGACTATTTGCATGTTTTGAATGTACTTCCTGAATCTTGGAAATATACAATTAGACACTCTAGAAACATCCCTGTTTTTGATTTACTCATAACTGAGTGTCATTTGACTTTATTGAAATCTTGCAAAGGCTCTAGAATTGTTTATGACGCCTTGATTTCCGATGAAGATTTACCTAAAATGTGTCTTAAATGGCAAGAATCTTTTGCTAATGTTACTTTTGATTGGAATCAGATTTTTACGACATAAAGAAATGGTTGAAAAGATGTCAAACTACTTGATTTCCAGTACAAGTTTTTACATGGTATTATCTATACTAAAAATGAACTATTTAAAATGAAACTTGTTGATAATTCTGTTTGCTGTTTTTGTAATGAACTGAATGAGAATATTTGTCATGTATATCGGGAGTGTAGAGAAACACAAACATTCTGGAATGAACTTGAAGTTTGGATAAATAATCATATTGAGAATACGACTAAAATAACAAAATATCTTGTTGGGTTTGGAACTTTAAACACAGAGTCTTACGTTGCCCCGACATCACGTACCTACTCTGATTGTCGTCTCACGGTGCCCCTCCACATATCACGTACCTACTCTGATTGTCGTCTTACGTTGCCCCCCACATCACGTACCTACTCTGATTGTCGTCTTACGTTGTCCCCACAACACGTACCTACTCTGATTGTCGTCTTACGTTGCCCCCACATCACGTACCTACTCTGATTGTCGTCTTACGTTGCCCCGACATCACGTACCTACTCTGATTGTCGTCTTACGTTACGCTGCCCTCCCACATTACGATTGTACCCTCACGTTGCCCCAACATCACGTACCTACTCTGATTGTCGTCTCACGTTGCCCCCACATCACGTACCTACTCTGATTGTCGTCTTACGTTGCCCCCCATCCGTACCTACATCACGTACCTACTCTGATTGTCGTCTTACGTTGCCCCCACATCACGTACCTACTCTTCAAAATATAATAAATAGAATATTTTGTTAATGTTGTCAAATAACATGACGGATGATTTCATCTCGTTCCTACTCGTGTTCACTCGTGAACATATCAACTTTGTCAGACCACGAGTTCACTCGTGAACATATCAACTTTGTCAGACCACGAGATGAAATATACGTGTTATTTGACATTTACAAAATATCCTATCTATGTATTACTTGAGTAAAATGAAAATAACTGTCATATCTTTCAACAGTAGAATTAGAGTGAGTGAGTTAATATTTATCGTCACATCGGCAATATTTCAGCCATAACGTGACGAGAACAATTAATGATTATATCATAGATAGAAAGAGTAGAAATTAAAATCCTGTTGACGAAGAACAGTGAAGGTACTAGTGTATCACAGATAGTCATTTAAAACTAGTGATTAAATCTAAAACATTTGAACTAAAATGACAAGACAATGTAAAACAGGCTATAGAATGCCAACAACTGAAGGTAAAATCACCATACTAGGGACCATGGGGACTTACAGTACATTTGCTTCCTGCATGGACCCTAGCTGGATTCACACCTTCCTTCTTCAGCTATTGGCAATTTTAGATAATCAAGCCATAATTTAAAGAACGTATATACTACGATTAAAAATAATAGTAGGTTTAAATCTATCTTGAAAGCTTTGGGACTTACGTACCAGTAGGATTAGACCTTTCAAATGGTGTATGCCATGTAGCAGCTGTAATGTTTTACAAGCGATATTTTCCTTGATCAATCATCTTAGTGTTTCTGGGAAGTCAGTGTCATGGCAGCAAAAGCTTCTGCTTGACTGGCGTTAATGTTCCGACCTCACTGACAAATTGAATGGCAACGGCAAATGAACACATCCCGTCGACTACATTTATACCTTGCGTCTTTCTGTTTCCATTGCATTTCAAGAAACGACAGTAAAGCAGACCTGAGAATTGTCATAAAAATGGAGAGGATGGGATAGCCTAGTGAAAGCATTTTGATTTCAAAATGAAAATATAAAAGAAATAGGTGACACTATAACATGACATCATACAAATTGAAAACATCGCCGCAGTTTTCGCTTCAGTAGTGGTTTATCTGGACTTGCTTGCATTTTCATTAACAATAAACTTATTAAAGTTGTAGTTTTATCATATTCTTAAGGGTGAAATACTGTAAATTTTGGTGAAAATATAAATGGTATTTCACTGAGTAGAATATCACTTTTGCCTGGAACTACTTTCTGATTAAAGAGTTAAAATGCAGACTTACTCGATGTCTCGATCATTTATAAACAATGATCAAAATATAATAAATAGAATATTTTGTTAATGTTGTCAAATAACATGACGGATGATTTCATCTCGTTCCTACTCGTGTTCACTCGTGAACATATCAACTTTGTCAGACCACGAGTTCACTCGTGAACATATCAACTTTGTCAGACCACGAGATGAAATATACGTGTTATTTGACATTTACAAAATATCCTCTATGTATTACTTGAGTAAAATGAAAATAACTGTCATATCTTTCAACAGTAGAATTAGAGTGAGTGAGTTAATATTTATCGTCACATCGGCAATATTTCAGCCATAACGTGACGAGAACAATTAATGATTATATCATAGATAGAAAGAGTAGAAATTAAAATCCTGTTGACGAAGAACAGTGAAGGTACTAGTGTATCACAGATAGTCATTTAAAACTAGTGATTAAATCTAAAACATTTGAACTAAAAATGACAAGACAATGTAAAAACAGGCTATAGAATGCCAACAACTGAAGGTAAATCACCATACTAGGGACCATGGGGACTTACAGTACATTTGCTTCCTGCATGGACCCTAGCTGGATTCACACCTTCCCTTCAGCTATTGGCAATTTTAGATAATCAAGCCATAATTTAAAAGAACGTATATACTACGATTAAAAATAATAGTAGGTTTAAATCTATCTTGAAAGCTTTGGGACTTACGTACCAGTAGGATTAGACCTTTCAAATGGTGTATGCCATGTAGCAGCTGTAATGTTTTACAAGCGATATTTTCCTTGATCAATCATCTTAGTGTTTCTGGGAAGTCAGTGTCATGGCAGCAAAAGCTTCTGCTTGACTGGCGTTAATGTTCCGACCTCACTGACAAATTGAATGGCAACGGCCAAATGAACACATCCCGTCGACTACATTTATACCTTGCGTCTTTCTGTTTCCATTGCATTTCAAGAAACGACAGTAAAGCAGACCTGAGAATTGTCATAAAAATGGAGAGGATGGGATAGCCTAGTGGTTAAAGCGTTCGCTTGTCACGCCGAAGATCTGCGTTCGATTCCCCACATGGGTACTATGTGTGAAGCCCATTTCGGGTGTCCCCCGCAGTGATATTGCTGGAATATTGCTAAAAGCGGCGTAAAACCATACTCACTCACTCATAATGGAGTGCCACAGATTCCTTTATATAATCGTGAATCACTGGGGAAAGGTGAGACGCATATAACATTTCTTCAACAGCATGTATATCGTGTACTTGGAAACATTTAGACTTTGCAGAAATGACTTTCATGCTGTTATACATATCACGCCTGTGTAATAACCATTTTGTTTTCACACTCACGTCCAGGTAATACGCATTACATGGAACAATCATGCCTTTGTTAACCCATTGTATGTAGGTATCTCGTCACAATATATGCATATTTCATCTTCAATTAAAACACAAATAGACAATACATTGTATATATTGTATGTGTTCCACTGTCATCTACGTGATAGCACGAGCCTACGTCATTATCACCTGTGAAGTGTGCTGTCAAGATGAAGCTGAAAACCAAGAATAGTTCGCTGCAAAAGGGTCAACAACAAGTGGCGCAATAATTTCAACATTTTTGAATGAACCAGAAGCTGCATTGCTCAGAACTGAGCCAAGGGATCCACGAACATGACATCGAAGGAGGAAGTAAATTTTGACAGTGTTTTCAATGCACTTGGGTGGAATGGCAGATATCAAATTGTCCAAGTTGGTCTTGTGTTATTGTCGTCTTTACCTTTCGCATTTCATATTATGAGCATCATATTCATAGGTAAGTTTTTGTTCAATATCGAATAGTTTATGTACCTGTGAATGGAATTACAAACTACTGATCACCGTGTTATCTCAGCACGGCGATGTTGAGTAATAACAAGGTGTTGTTAAGTCATATATTTTCACACATATTGGAAACGCACTTAATGTCATTCGTATGCCTCGTGGTCATTCTCGTCATTCTCGTCCCCGTGTCGGGAGCCGATCGGATTAGACGGATCGTACCTTTCTTGAAGTAGTTATGAAAATGTATTAAACATGATAAATATAAGTTTATATGACATGCAAATCAGTTTGTGGATCTGGTTTTGACAAATGATTGTGCCAGAACTTATACAGCAATCATACAGCATGTAATCCCACTTTGCAGGAGCACATACACTGAACTTTGTAACGTAACTATAAGAACCTTAAGAAATGCCCGCTGCCAATGAATGGGAATTGAAGATACTTTTCCATAAACATTAGCATCAGCTGACGTTAAATCACCAGTTTTAGTAGTTGAGTAAAACCTTGTTTATGCAGGATCTCATGTTCCAAGTCAGTGTAAGGAGCTCAACGATACGTCTGTGGTGAAGGACCTTGTGTGCCACGCAGATCTGTCGGACTTCAACATCACGTACCACGAATGTGGAATCAGCATTACTTCCAACAAGGCGGATAGTGGGGACAGAATAGAACTCTCATGCATCGAGGGTTATCGGTATGAAAAGCCAAGAGAACTGTCTCTTGTATCTGAGGTAAAATCAATTCACTCATATCATACACTTTGAACTAAATGCACAGAGGTTTACCCAATGCAATGAATTTCTGATGTTTCACAACAAAAACCGTCCTCGATGGGGAACGTAAACGAGCAACCAAACGTTCAACTTCAAGTTACTTCTAAGATACATTGGGATTGTGTTTCCTGAAACATGCTTGGATCATTTTGTGATCATTGTAATTGTTATAATGATACCCGTGAAGATCCGGGTTAGAATATTGATCTTCAGTAACCCATGCTTGTCTCCACCCGTGAAGATCCGGGTTAGAATATTGATCTTCAGTAACCCATGCTTGTCTCTACCCGTGAAGATCCGGGTTAGAATATTGATCTTCAGTAACCCATGCTTGTCGTAAGAGGCGACTGACAGGATCGGGCGGTCAGGCTCGCTGACTATGTTGACACATGTCATCGGTTCCCAATTGTGCAGATCGATGCAATTGTGCAGATCGATCATGTTGTTGCTGACTGGATTGTCTGGTCCAGACTCGATTATTTACAGCCCGCCGCCATATAGCTGGAATATTGCTGAGTGCGGCGTAAAACTAAACTCACTCACTCACTGTCATAATGATAGTAATGTATCTGTAGTATGTTCCAGTTCCATAACTTTCGCAAAGCTTGCTTTGACAGAAATGTATTACCACACGTTATGTACCTTCCGTCCAACACTGTCATTACTTCATTCAGTGGGATGTAGTCTGTGAGAAGGAAGGCCTGAGCGATCTACTGCAGACCCTTTACATGTTTGGCACGGGAATCGGAGCAATCCTGTTCACAGTTGTAGCTGACCGTTTCGGACGCAAGTTCTCCAATGTGGTGGCTGGAGTGTCCTTTCTTGTGGTCGGCACGGGCATGGCATTTATACCCACATTTGTCCCGTTTGCAGTGTTAAGAGTTCTTCAAGGAGCAACACAGATGGTAGGCTATATTGTATGTGCTGCAACTCAGATTGGGAGGGAGGGTGACCCACAGGGATAGGGATGGGGGGGGGGGGGGCTGCCAGGATGGCTGGAACAGGTGTGTGGGTGTTCGGACCTATCAATATTCACATTACATTGCCTGAAAGTGTGTATTACATACCAAAAACCATGTATAGACTAAGAATGAATTGCATTAACTTAAGGGCCCACTCTTACCTTCCCGCAGGAGGGTACACATTCAACATTTATCGGAGTACTTTATTATCATAGTCGCATCATATAACACTGTTATGGTCATTTAATCGCATGGGCAAACACCGGGTACAAAAAAACACCATGAAACCATATGTGGGTTCTATATAAATATTGTTGTGACAAACCCTATCGTTAGTAAACACCTAAAATCTTGACATGTAGATAAATATATTGTGGTGTTGTTTTAATATCACACCGGGGCGGTGGGGTAGCCTAATGGTTAAAGCGTTCGCTGGTCACGCCGAAGACCCGGGTTCGATTTCCCACGTGGGTACAATGTGTGAAGCCCATTTCTGATGTCCCCCGTCGTCATATTGCTAGAATATTGCTAAAAGCGGCGTAAAACATACTCACTCACTTAATATCACACCCATAAAAAGAGGCAAGCACAGACAATAGACAGTGTCCGCAGTAAAATGAAAAGACCAATCGTTCTTTTTCAGGGTGTGAGTCTAACTTCCACAACTCTCTATCTTGAGATTGTCCCAACGCAGCACAGATCTAAGATGAGTGTTTGCGGCACCATTATGTGGTCTATATCAATAGTAACATATGCCATAGCAGCATATGCCATGAAGGATCTCGGCTGGCGGTACCACCAACTTGTCGTTGGTCTTACAGCTGCATACTATATAGTTGTACCATGGTGAGCAACTCTTACGTTAGTAGTAGTTGAACTGAAGTAGTTCCATCCTTAGATATAGTATGACCAGAAATTATTGAGAATTTTAGGAATATGTTTAATTGGATTTCTAGTATAAACAAACTTGACCAGCTATCAAGTGCTTGGTTTCATTCAAGAGAGACAACTCCGTTAATCCCTTTTCATTAGTTTGTGAAGAGTTATCCCCCTTTGTTTACTTGCTAGCAGACGACATTTTCAGTGATCCTCAGTATGGATGATTTAGAGAAGACGAAATTGATTTTAGAGTATTATAACAAGGACATCAGATCAGCTAAAGTGATTTCAACTAGAACTGGCATCCCCTTGTCCACTGTTTATCGTGTTTTGAAAAATATTGCAAATGGATATGGCATTGAGCACCAGGGAGGCGCAGGTAGGCCCAGAAAATTGACTGTCGGTGACAGGAGGCGGCTTTGTGTTCTTGTTTCTAAAAACAAACGAAGGAGTTTAGAAACCTTAAGGCTGGATTTTGATAGAGGAACTGTGGCTGTCTGTAAGGAGACAGTTAGAACTGAGCTGCATGCAATGGGTTGGCAGAAAAGTCGAGGAATTCCATCACCGATCATGAAACCTGTACAAAAGAAGCAAAGGTTGAACTGGTGCTTACAGCAAAGAAATTTAACTGGGACAATGTGATTTTCTCAGATGAAAGTTCTGTGTGGCTGTTTCCTAATACACTGGAATTCTGGACCAAACGAACTGAAACACCTTTGTATATATCAGCGCCCAAAGTACAGTCCGAAATTTAACGTGTGGGGTGGCATATCTGTGTTAGGGACAACGCCCCTCTGTGTATTTGAAGGGAATATGAACAGTGAGTGGTACACATATATTCTCGAGGGACAATTACTTCCATCTGCTAACGTGTTCTATGGACATTTTTGGATTTTCCAGCAGGACAACGACCCAAAACATCGTTCAAAGCATTCACAGGCCTGGTTTCGGACCCAAAATATGACATTATTTGATTGGCCAAGCTATAGCCCGGACCTAAATCCAATAGAAAATGTTTGGGGACTTATGAAGGGTAGTGTCAATAAGAAAAATCTGACAAATATTGCTGAAATGAAAGAAGAGGTGGTCCGATATTGGGACAGCATGGACCACGACTTTCTAACTTCTTTGATCAGTAGTATGCCCCGCCGCATTGAAGCATGCATTGCTGCCCGTGGTGACTTGACAAAATACTAACTGTTTACCTGTCTTTGAATCTGGAGTTATGTACTGCTAATATTCACATTTAATACGTTAGTAATGAGTGCAAAAAAAAGGAAAATTTACAATCTTTAAATTCTCAATAATTTCTGGTTGTACTAATAATGCAATATAGTTGGTTATGCAAATGAAGACCTCTTACCGAACCTTGACGTCAACTATTTACATTGTTGTTGACTGCTCTTCGGTTTAAGATATATAGTACTAAACGTTCTTGCAGGGTACTGGACGAGAGCTACAGATGGCTAGCAGCAAACAACATGTATGATGTCATAGAACGAAATTTGAAGAAGGCCAGTCGTATGAATTCAAAGAATGAAAATGTCATCATTAATACCTTTAGAGACAAAGTGTTGTCACCTAGACTGCATGATAATCTACCTCTCCTGGTACACTCATCGAATGGCGAATCTGTATGCTGCCAACACGCGGCAAACGTTTCAGCCAAACAACAAGAAAAAGAGGAAAAACCTTTTCTCCAGATTTTTCAGGACAGACAGATTCTAACGGTGTCTGCAATAATATGGTTTATATGGTATGTTTACTGAGCATTTGCACAATTTATGTAATGGTTTATGTTGTTAGCTTGTAGTATATATGTAGATCAACAAAACTAAGGATCGCTTATACATGACATTAAATCATAGTTCCTTTAACACCATTCCATAATGCTTTCGTGGACATTGATTGACTTCTGTTGCAGACTTAGTACAGTCTTAGTAGTGCTGCATTTTGCCTAGACGTCAGCTGATTCAAAGGCCATTAGTAACACACATTACCTCTACGTCAGTTATTTTACTTTTAGGTTAACAGATTCTATCACCTATTATGGGCTACAGCTCAATTCTACCAAGTTTCACAGTGACAAATACATGGGCTTTGGTCTGAGCGCCATCACGGACGTTTTAGCTTCGATCATGTTCTGGCTAACAGTAGACAGGTAATTGCGCAATCATTTGATATACTTAAAATCTTGGGTTTTTTCTGTTTCAGCATAAGGGGATGTTGTGCAACCCAGCCTAGTTTATGTATTTCATTTTGTACATGGTTGTGTTTGTTTCTTGCAGATTTGGGAGGAGAAGAACGTGCTTAGTCTTTCACTTAATCGCAGGCGTATCTTTGATAGCGTCAGTAATATTTAACAATTACAAAGGTAAGATTTTTGTTTGATTTCTAAAAATGACGTGTTATCATACCCGGTATTTTTCCCATCTAGCAAGTAAATGAGAGTAATAGTTTTAGGACTATCATTTGAAATTCTGTGGAGGATAATGGGAGAAAATGTTTGACATGAAGTGTACAAATGCAAGAGATGTATTTCCAAACATCTACATTTGTTTCAGATACAGTACCCTCCTTCACTGTGGCTGTTACCACATTTTCCCTCATAGGGAAGTTTGCCATAGCGACAACGTTTAATCTTCTGTGGCTGTATACTCCTGAAATATTCCCAACAAAAATACGGTGAGAATTTACAACCAGTACAATATTTTGGGAAGGTATTCTGACAAATTGGGGCTCAAATTACAGAATGTTTCAGTAGATAGTAGGTTGGGTATATCGTTCTGAAAATAGATGGTGAACGAGTGGCGTGCCTGAATCGATGATTCTCTGTCTCTCGTGGATTCAACCAATGTAGTAAACATTAGACATGCATCATGTTTGTACCTTTATGGACGCAATCATCATACTTGTACCTTTATGAACGAATGCATCGTGCGTGTCCCTTTATGATGGTATGCATTATGCATGTACCTTTATGAACGTGTGCATCATGCATGTACCTTTACGAAAGAATGCATCATGAGGGGCGATGGGGTAGCCTAGTGGTTAAAGCGTTCGCTCGTCACACCGTGGACCCGGGCTCGATTCCCCACATGGGTGCAATGTGTGAAGCCCTTTTCTGGTGTAACCCGATATTGCTGGAATATTGCTTAAAGCGGCGTATAACTATACTCATTCACTTGTACCATTATTAACCTATGCATTATTCTTGTACCTTTATGAACATGTGCATTATGCACGCCTTTTATGAACGCATGCATCATGCATGTCCCTTTATGAATGTGTGCATTATGCATGTATCTTAGTTTATGGATGTGTGCATTATGCATGTAGCTTCATGAACGTGTGCGTCATGCATGTTCCTTTATAAACGTGTGCATTATGAATGTACCTTTATGAACGTGTGCATTATGCATGTCCTTTTATGAACGCATGCGTCATGCATGTACCTTATGAACGTGTGCATTATGCATGTACCTGTATGAACGTATGCATGAACCTTTATGTGCGTATGTTTCCTGCTTGTGCCTTCATCATAAATTATATCGATTCAGAAGCGTCGGTTTTGGATTAGCCTCACTGGCAGCTAGAATTGGTGGATTGCTGGCGCCATTTTCAAGGACACTGGTAAGCCTTTCTGCTTATGCAATATATTCAATGCATGTAGATGCTATGGAACACCTGAGAGTATTATTTGTCAAACATTAACACCCTACACTCATTTGCGGTGACATGTGTAATGTTAAAATCTGAACTAATGGTTTTTGTTCTGATCAGAGTTACGTAGTTAGCGTGATGCTTCGACTACTATACGGAGCTATCACTCTTCTTGTGTTTTAACTCAAAATGGTGCATGACTTAAATCATAGTCTGTTTGTATCCGTGCAGAAATATCACCAACAATACATTATGTTTCAACATGAATTTTTAAACGAATTCTTTGAATCATTGAATAAACTCCCAGTTTAAAGTAAACTTTATTTACATTCTAGAAGCATAATTTATATTCCCGTTCTCTCTATTGTGTGTCAGTATCGACACTACCCCTGGGCCCCCGGCTCTGTGTTCGGTACATGCTGTATCGTGGTGACGTTCCTGATGCCGTACCTGCCGGAGACAAACAACCAGGAGTTGCCCCAGACCATCCGGGAGATGAAGCGGTCGATGAGACAGCAAAAGGAATCCCCGAAGAAGAAACAGAAGAACCTAATTACTGGAAGTTGAACTGTAATACAACACTCATATATTCCAGCGTTTTTTTGCTTTTTTGTACCAGTCATACTCAGAAACAACATACAGAACAACAAGCATTTGGTAGCTACCTGCTCGCATGATCATATCGGAAATTCTTGTCTTGTCCATGTCTTGTTCAGATTTCCGACACTGTGTAGAAGCGCGTCCTGCTATTGTTAAATCAGAGTGAAAAATGTACAGAGAAATGTCGCTAGGTTGATTGTGGTCCCTGCCAGATGAGACGTGATGCACACACACAGACCTGTTCAACTCCTGCTTCGAAGCTGCCAGTGTCCACGACCAGTCTCTGGCTTTGCCACCATTTGGAGATACCAACCAGCCAGCTTAGAACCATGAGCAGGAAACATACCAGTCTGGCTATTGTCCATCAGTACTAATCACCCCTTGTCTTAGGTTTACCCATGGCTTATTATACTACCCATCAAAAGTTTAGACTCACTTAAAGCACTCACTATATGTCATGCATATATATATGGTTACATCAAATATGAATTTTTCCACTAACTTGGGGGAACCACCTGCAAACCTTATGCAGATGAATTGCATGATGATCATGCATCAAAATGCTGAAAAGCGTGTGCAAATATCGTGCATGTGAACAGCTGCGTTTGGTGTAAAGTTTTGTTAAGAGTTCGCCAATTTTCACCGAGTTTCATCATTTATTGAACTCACGATAATACTCTTTTCAACGTTACGAATTTGATTTACAATACATCAGTTCATGTGTACATAACAGTACATTTAAACAGTATGGAATATTTTGCAAAATCTAGTTCTGAACAGTTGACTGAAGTAAGTGGCTACATTTACACTATTGACTCTAAACTTTTGAAGGGTAGTATATAAGCTGGTGTTAGGTAATCTGTCGGCATCCATTGGTAATCACACTGGCCAATCAGCACAAATCATGTTTAGTTCACTAAATAAATAAATAAATATATATATAAATATATAATTGTTCAGCTAAATAAATGAAGAGTTAGTGGAACAGAAGATATATGCGGCTATAAATGAACACATATATATGTAATTGTCCAGCTACATTTAGGTGTGCCTGAAGAGTTAGTGGAACAGAGGATGTTGTGCGCCTTTGGAATGAACACATATATATATGTAATTGTCCAGCTACATTTAGGTGTGCCTGAAGAGTTAGTGGAACAGAGGATGATGTGCGGCTATGAAATGAACATATATATATGTAATTGTCCAGCTACATTTAGGTGTGCCTGAAGAGTTAGTGGAACAGAGGATGATGTGCGGCTATGAAATGAACACATATATATGTAATTGTCCAGCTACATTTAGGTGTGCCTGAAGAGTTAGTGGAACAGAGGATGATGTGCGGCTATGAAATGAACACATATATATGTAATTGTCCAGCTACATTTAGGTGTGCCTAAAGAGTTAGTGGAACAGAGGATAATGTGCGCCTTTGAAATGAACACATATATATATGTAATTACTCAGCTACAGGTAGGTGTGCCTAAAGAGTTAGTGGAACAGAGGATAATGTGCGGCTATGGAATGAACACATATATATATGTAATTGTCCAGCTACATTTAGGTGTGCCTGAAGAGTTAGTGGAACAGAGGATGATGTGCGGCTATGTAATGAACACATATATATATGTAATTGCTCAGCTACATTTAGGTGTGCCTGAAGAGTTAGTGGAACAGAGGATGATGTGCGCCTTTGTAATGAACACATATATATATGTAATTACTCAGCTACAGGTAGGTGTGCCTGAAGAGTTAGTGGAACAGAGGATAATGTGCGGCTATGAAGTGAACACATATATATGTAATTGTCCAGCTACAGTTAGGTGTGCCTAAAGCGATAGTTGTACAGAGGATGATGTGCAGATTAATTGCTGATGTATTTTCCTACAGAAATTCAAGTTACTTTGCTATTGAAAAGTTTGACGCTTTGTGTGTTTTCTGATAAAATTATAGATTAATTCCAGAATTTTTATATTTTCAGAAGCGCTCAAATATCTATTCGTAATGCTTTCCAGATTATAGCCATGGGAATGAAAACATATGTTTCTTCTTATCTTTGTATACTTCACACTTGTGACATCCGCAGGAACAGTTCGGCCGGTTCCATACATGTCTCTTAGGAACTCACACAAAGTTAATCGTTGTATATCTAATGGCCTATCTTGTTCTTGTGGTGCTATTTGAGAAGATAATAAATCTTATATAATTGTACCTACATTAAACATATATAAATGTACCCACATTATTTCTTTCTGTGTCCTGTGTGTAACCCTGGAACACTGTCGAAAAGACCGTCGAGCCACAGCCCGTTAAGTGTAGTTAAGGCCGTCATGGTCATCTCCGGAAATTGGCATTTTCAGTTATCCAATGTAGCTTCTTTCTGGTATGGAAAATGTAAGTAAAGTGGACAATATGCGTTATGCGACGGCGCTTAATAAATCTGGTCCCGATAAACCAGTGTTTAATAGAATGAGCACGAGTTATTAATACACTAACTCCGTCACTGCCTCACCCCATCTTCAGTTGAATAGGCTCGTATGATAAGTGTGGTGAGCTGAGTGTCAAAATATTCTGATCTTATCTACCACCTGATAATTTAGGCAATGCCACATTAAATAACGATTGTCTTGAACAGTCAATTTATCAAGAGCGAGAGCGAGTATGGTTTTAGGCCGCTTTTATTCCAAAAATATCACGGCTGTGGACACCAGAAATGGGTTTCACACATTGTCCCATTGTGGGAAACGAACCAGGGTCTTCGGTGCGACGAGCGAACGCTTTAACCACTAACCTACCTACTACAATATTAAGAGCGAATGCGGATAGAACACGACCCAGAGGCGTGGGTTTCTGCTGGACAGCTTCCCCTGCTGACAGTTTCCCGAACGGGATATGAGAGCTGCTGCTAATGTCATGAGAACACACGATATTTTGATTTGCCGGCGGAAACCAATGCCGTCGTATATTTGAGTGGCAACACCCACAGTGAGTTCTGTGTATTGGTTGGTTTGTTCTTTAACGCCACACTCAGCAATATTCCAGTTATACGGCGGCGGTCTGTAAATAATCGAGTCTGGACCAGACAATCCAGTGACCAACAGCATGAGCATCGATCTACGCAAGTGGGATACGATGACATGTGTCAACCAAATCAGCGAGTGTAACCACCCGATCCCGTTAGTCGCCTCTTACGACAAGCATGGGTTGCTGAAGATCAAGTCTAACCCGGATCTTCGCGGGTCCCGTGTGCAAGTCAAAACATTGATTACACAACAGTCTCATTGCCTGTTGACTGGGTTCCGTCCTATTGCGCAGCTTAGTACACTAACCAGTCCAGAAGTTTGAGACTAATTCACTTAACTGGATACATAAATATTAATCAGTATTATTTGATACATCTAAGCACTTGTATATTGCAAACCTACGCTCCATCTAATCCTTGCAAACACGTCGTGCAGCGTGCTCTGTCGTACAGCGAGCTCTGACAAACAGAAACCTGGAAATCGTGGACATCTCAAAACGAGGCTCTGCCGCTAGAAACGTTTGGCGGTCTGGTACGGACTTGATATTATATCAATCACATTGTGCGTTACAGAACTACGCTGAATAAGTGCAAAAAACACATAACAGGTGTAATCAGTAAGCCAGATGCATTGTGAATCATTTTACGACCTCATCAAACTGGGGCAGTCTGTGACGTCTTAGTTAAGGTTATACTGCCTACACCTCGTCATGAAATATAAAAATACGATCTTATTAAAGTTTAAAATTAAATTCATCTGTAAATACCATTTTCTTATGACACCAGGAATTGGATTTCAGTGTAACCATAGTTGTTTGTGATGTCTATTTTCACTTTCACGGGAGAAAATTCGGACCGGCTGAAAAGTAGTTCATTGTCTGAATAGGTGAATAAGACTCATGTTTCGGTTTGTGGCATCAAATGTAATGGCGTTAATAATAAACCCACATCGGTGTTTTATAAGAATGCTTGTGACTATTATTCTCAGTCAATGTAAACATGTCGTACTGTTGCGTTCTTCTTGTCAAAACAATGTGTGAAAGTGTGTTTTGGAAAAATATTGTGTTGCTGGTAAAAATATATGTTCAGTGCTTCCTATCAGTGAGTGAGTGAGTTAATATTTATCGTCATATCGGCAATATTTCAGCCATATCGTGACGAGAACAATTAATGATTACATCATATGTCAGTAAAATTAGAAATTATAACCTGTTGACAAAGAACAGTAAAACTACTAGCGCATCACAGATATTCATTTAAAACTAGTGATGAAATCTAAAACATGTTAACTAGAAATGACAAGACAATGTAAAAACAGGCTATAGACCGCCAACAACTGAAAGTAGATCACCATACCAGGGACACTTCCTATCAGTAAAAGGAAAGCATGTCCATGTTTTGCGCTGACAAACTAACCTGTTGTCTCCAACAATCATTCCAGCAACTTTCAGGACTTGTGTGTGAGTGAGTTTAGTTTTACGCCATTCAGAACTTGTGACTCTATACTTATATTCAGGGCGTATTGATCTGAAAGAATCAGTTATGTTCTGGCCAGGTCCTTTCCAAGATATATTCAGATTGTCATTAGGGAACATCTTGTTGTTAAGCAAATATTAACCATCAAACCCAATTGAACATATGTGTTTTCGGAACAATACTTACATGTGGATAAGGGGCGGTGGGTAGCCTAGTGGTTAAAGCGTTCGCTCGTCACGCCGGAGACCGGGTTCGATTCCCCATATGGGTACAATGTGTGAACCCCATTTCTGGTGTCCCCCTCTGTGATATTGCTGGAATATTGCTAAAAACGGCGTAAAACCATGCTCACGCACTCACTACATGTGGATAACATGAGTAGATGCATCAATTACATGCAGATACATTTCACACACTTGCACAATATTCCAGTGCACATTCTGGTTTAAATGAGGCCAGGTACTACATTGCAGACATTCCTACCAACAGTTGCTGGTGCTGATGGTGATGTTGATACTGCTACCGGTCAATACACAGCAACAGCATCTGGCCCAAATAAAACTCCGGGGCAGTGGGATAGCTTAGTGGTTAAAGCGGTCGCTCGTCACGACCAGGTTCGATTCCTCACATGGTACAATATGTGATGCAGATTTCTTGTTTCCCCTGTCGTGATATTGCTGGAATATTGCCCAAAGCGGCTTTAAACCCAACTCACTCACTCACTCACTCAATCAGTTAATAACCTCAGACACACTCCAGCGTCTCATAAATGGTATTACAGACAATATCATGGCATCTACGGCTGTGGTATCATTACTCATTCCATGTCAAAACAACTGCAAAGGTTAGTCCTCAACGAAATTCTATTTATGAAACCACCAGTTTTCGGGTTGAAACCATACAAATACCAAACACGCAATTTTGTCAATTTTATGCAGGTAAGGCGTGGGTAATAAATAAAAAAACAAATTCGTTGTCATTACATACGAATAATAATACTTGAATTCATATCGTGAATCGTTCTGTGAGTGTCTCTATTTTGTGTGTGTACAATCTATACAATACTGAATGTCCTTTGATTATACATTGCTTGTGCACGTGTCTGATTATTAGGTAAGAGTTCCTCCCGCTCCCCCCATCCCAAATGATATATATAAATTAATATATACTGAAATTATTAACAAAACCTAGCACAACAAGTACTAGAGAACATCACTTAAAACAACTACAATATATATAGGGTCGCCCCACGTTGTATGATAAGGGCCCCTGGCACGGTGATGTTACACAAAAATATGGGGGAACGGAAGGAACTCTTTCCGAACAGAATTGTTTATATGGGAAGTAGTTTACACTTCCAACGTCACCTGCTGCTGTTAATTTCAGGGGGAAAACATCAGAGGTTGTCCCCAATTCAGGATATTTCTTGTTGAACGAGTTGTGTGTGTTTGCCAGCTCGAGCGTTGTTACATAAACCTTAGCGACAGAGTAGAGTCGTGGCGATATTTCAGGCTGGGTTCCATTGTTTCAAGCCACTGATGATGTCAGTTTTCTTGATCCGCACGAGACAACATGAAATCTCAGCTGCTGGCTACTGACCACCCCCATTGTCCCAGGGCTTGTTGCCCTGATTGGTCCAATGGCCGAGTATAAAACAAAGTTGCCTTGACAGCTACGTCGCGTTTATCGTTCACTTGTGTCCATATCGCTTCATTATTACACATATTCTCGCTCTATTAATATTCTCCCGCTCTGTCAGCATGAACAGACTTTTGCAAAGTTTGGGCCTGGTGTCAGGCGTCCCTCCAGCCCCACAGGTCGGACCACAAGTACCCCAAGCAGGACCTTCGAGCCAGGTCACAAGAGGTACCCCTATCGCCAACCAGCGACTTTCGTCAACCACCTCGACTCCATTTGCCACCCCAATGACGTCCACGCCGTACTCTACACCAGGACAGGGGAGTGGGGCAACTGGCGGAGAGGCGGCTCAGTTGGACGTGAGTAAACATAATACCTTAAAATAGTCTTTGTATCGATCCTACCTTATACCACTAAATCTACTTTATCAAGTTCAACGTGAAATGCAATGTCCTCCATAACTGTTTCTAAGAACGTGAAAAAAAAACAAGCAATCTTAGCAAAGTATGGTAAGAGTTCCGTCCATAACCCCGCTTGAAAAGTATTCTATTTATTTGGATTATTTCGACGGGTTATGGTTTAGGGTAAGGGTTAGGGTTAGGGCTAGGGTGAGGCTATTAAAAAACATCCATCTAATCTTAGGCATAGAATAATTAAATAAAAAAGAAACGGGTTACGTAATAAGTAATTGACGTATTTTTACTGACGTAGCGTACGTAGCGCCGTGAGCAGGCAATGTGCCTGGATATGAGCTCCATATAAGCGAACTATTACTAATACAAGAACGATTAGTGAAGGCGGTGTGTAACCAAAGGCGGATCCAGAGGGGTGGGGGTACAGGGGTGTCATGTACGTTTAAGAAGTAACCATTGAAACTCTCATGAAAATGAAGAGTGCCCCCCCCCCCTTTCCCAAGAAGCTGTATCCGCCCCTGGAAACATAACTTACTCACTTCTGATTGGTTGCAAAGTATGATGATATTTATACACTATATCATTATAGCTATATGGTCCGCCTACCAAGTGTATCAAGATGTATCATGATATTGACGTGCATGTCTCTGACCTGTCTGAGATGTCTTTTGCCTCAGGTTAACGATGCAGCCGAGCTGAGAAGACTCCGTGAGGAAAATAGAAGGCTGAAAGATGAAATCAGGCGTCTAAAGGGAATGGTAAGTCAAATGATTTTACTGAGTGTAGTCGTGACACAGCGTTTAACAGTATACACGTTGCACGACATGATGTTCTTACGTGGAGGCGTTGAACATATCGATAATCAAACCCGGGGCTTCCATGTGATGAGCGATGAACTCCGCACATCACCTCTTGATCGTAGGGGCGGTGGGGTAGCCTAGTGGTTAAAGCGTTGGCTCGTCACGCCGAAGGCCCGGGTTCGATGCCCCACATGGGCACAATGTGTTAAGCCCATTTCTGGTGTCCCCCGCCGTGATATTGCTGGAATATTGCTAAAAACGGCGTAAAACTAAACTCAGTCAGTCAGTCTTGATCGTAGGACTTGTGTATATTGATGTTTAACATACTGTCAGAGGTGAAATATTTAATTTGACAGAACGTGAACCTTTCGATTTGGGAAGAACTACGGAATATACAGCAATTGGTGAGACTAAATTTTAACGATGAGGAAAACATTCTTAGAGTGGCATTTTTTTAAAAGTTGGATGTGACTTTCAGTATGTTTAGATACAATTGTAGAAACGTGTTAAAACTCATCCTTATCAGATGAGGCATATATATTCAGATGATATGATTTGACTAGAATGAAATTTGAGGGGGATACGGGCAGACGTCTTTCGCTGGCAGTTCGGTATTTGCATACAGACATTCAAGGCAAGGTACACTGTCAGCAACACGGACAGCACGTGGTTACATCAAAAAGTACAACAAAAAACACACGAAAATCTGGTGCTTCGATTCGGGTGCATATTATTGTAGAGCTGGCAACGTAATGGCTGATAAACGAAATTACAACCATGGCATGTATTCAATGTCGATGTGTTTTGCAGTGTAACCGTGTTTTGCAGTGTTTTATATCATACCCTAAGAGCTATGTCATTGAGAGTATGGTAAACGTATATTTGGTTCATAGAAGTTGTAATATCATCGAAAATTATAGTATCAGACCATGACAGTTGCAAAGTCATTGATTATATTTTTATGTGAACACCGATGGTTTTTAATATACAGTGCAAATCGTGTATAATTTATAACTGTTGTAAAGATCATTGAAAATAAAAGAAGTCTGGTATCGATTCGTCAAATTGTTTCATAGGATTGAATATGGGTGCGTGAATGCGCTCTATATTGAAACGTACGTTAGGTCACCCAAATTATGTTTGTTTGTGTAGCGGGACACAACACCGACAGCAGCTCCATCAACAGTCCCATCATCAGCTCCATCTGCAGTTTCATTGGCAGCACCATCAGCAGCCTCATCGTCAGCTGCATTACCAGCGCCATCAGCAGCTCCGTCCGCCGCTCCACTAGCAGCGCCATCGACAGCTCTATCAGCAGCTCCATTAGCAGCACCAGCAGCAGTTACATTGGCCACAGCAACAACCGCAGCAGCTCCGGTCACTATGAATGTGGCGACACAAACTCTTACAGCAGTGAGTATGCTACTGGAGTTCATCACTGGGAGTTTGGTTCACTCGCATTGAGAGGCATGCATCCTTAATAGCTGAAAGTCTTTAGTTTCGCTTGACACAGATTTAGTGTCTCGTCCGTCCGCACATTATTCTTCAATACGAGTTCTACTTCAACATCAGATTAGGTTCTCCGAAGCAAATTGTTTTCTGCACTGTCAAATATATCTGAAGCATATTAGCAGCTGTTTACGTTTATGTGTTTTTATTTCGCTGCGGAGTATTTCATGACTATGTTCTAACTGATCAAGAAGAACTGCTGGACATTCTTCTCTACATGGCTTTCTTCTCAAAGAATTCTGAACCCACTTCACATCCGTACATTGAAGCAGTTCTACATTATTGCATTTCATAACTTTAACAACCGTTAATGAATTCTTTTTATGTTTGTCTTCATTCAGGCTCAGGCAACTGATGAAGCAAGGCAGAGACGCCATGCTAGATATAGGCAAAGGGAAGTAAGGCAACAACTTCAAAGGCAACAGCAGCACCAACAGGAACAACGATTCCAGCTTCAGCAACAGCGCCGACGACAACAACAGCAGCAGCAGCCCCGACAGCAGCTACAGCAGCAGCAGCAGCCCCGACAGCAGCAGCTACAGCAGCAGCAGCAGCCCCGTTTGCAGCAGCAGCCCCGACAGCACCAGCATGCCAGACAGCAGCAACAACCCCGACAGCAGCAGTTCCGCCTGCAGCGGCAGCGGCACCATCAGCAACAGCACCGACAGCAGCACAGACAGCATCAAGAAACTCCATACGAGGAGCTGCTACGTATTTTCGATGAGGAGAAGAGGACTTCGGTGAGACATCTTACCTGACTTTTGAGAATGACGATTGCTGGTTTTTAACGTTCCCAAACTGATCATGCTGGTTGTAAGAGCCCATACGGCCATTTTGTTAGTGTACCACGAGGGTGCAGGTCGTTGCTCATCTTATCAAGTAAAATAGACCTTGTTGACTGCAGCACAAGACTATTCACTCCTAATTACCAATAATCTTCAAATCTGTTGATGAAACAATCTTTCCATTGTCGCGGTTGGGCCTTAACTAGTCTCAGTTAAGCGTCAAAATGTTCCTTGTGTTAGTAGTCTTTAGTAAGTTTCCTGGAGACGCAGATCAAGAGATTCAAGGCGTTCATTTATCCTCACTCTTGACACCCCTGATGAAACTGAAAATGCTCACGTGCAGTAGGGAGTACACCAGTATGTTAAGTAGATCCAACGGTAAAAGTTACTGTGACCCATGGACTGGAGATAATGTCTAAGAATTGTTTCCTTGTAGACAAGGGGCCGAATACGGAAGCCAGCCGGGGTCGTCCAGGTGGCGTTAGGAGGAGGAGTGACCAGTAAGTTGAACTCCGTCTGTTTCTAAACTTGATAGTAATGGCTTCTCACCTTTGTATTGTGTATATACCATATGAAGTAACACCTATGATGGTGACTACGATGTTTAAGATGTTTTACCTTCTTTCTTCAGATGTCATTACCGTACAACAACGGGTCTTCGTCAGACAAAGACAAGTTTAGATGTCTCGTTCTTCGTGTCTCGCCAGCAGTCCAATGTCTCCATCATCCAGTTTGTCATCTATAGCTGTCACCCAGCCGCCTCAGCCAGTCCCCGAAATTGGCATTCTCAGTCGGTAATCCCAGTGATCAACCTTAACGCTGCCATCAGTCCCTCAATGGCCACTGACTACAACGCCATCCTTCTGCTAGCTCTCCAGGTATACAGTTGTGATCATCAAACCATTTAAAACTTTTAAGAAACATTTCCTGAGTGCAGATGATTTCATCATTTACCATGGTCGCTGCACTGGCTTGAACTATTTTTTATTCACGGTTGAAAAATTCTCTAGGCGTCCCATATCAAAACCATGTATTTGGGAACATACAAGTTAACTCATCTTTAACAAAGGCTTTATGTACAGTGATTCTGAATACTTCCTTTCAAGAGTTTAGACTCACTTCAAACATTCATTATATGTTATGTATATATAATATATGGTTACATCCAAAATTGATGGTTCTCCCAAGTTAGTGGAAATAACTGCAAACCTTAAGCACATGAATTGCACGAGGATCCTGCATAAAATTGCTGCAACGTATGTGCAAATATCGTACATGTGAAAAGCTGCGTTTTGGTGTAACGTTTTGTTCAGAATTCGCGAGTTTTCACTGATTATGACGATAATCTTTACGAATTTGTTTTACAATACAGGGGTGGTGGGGTAGCCTAATGGTTAAAGCGTTGGCTCGTCACGCCGAAGACCCGGGTTCGAATCCCCACATGGGCACAATGTGTGAAGCCCATTTCTGGTGTCCCCCGCCGTGATGTTGCTGGAATATTGCTAAAAAGCGGCGTAAAACCAAACTCAGTCAGTAAGTCAGTTTTACAATACATCAATTCATGTGTAAACAGTACCTTTAAACAGTGTGATATATTTATTCAAAATCAGTTTAGAACTTTGCCTTTAGTAAGTGGCTATATTTACACTAGCGAGTCTACACTTTTGAAAAGAAGTATATTTCACCTCAGGTGTGCTCAGTCAAGACGTTCTTCATTATCAAACCATAGGTTATATCACTGAGGATAAGACGTATATAGTATTGGTCGAAAATAGTTGTAACGTCATTGCTTATATGTATAGTAATGGTTGTGTAAATATCATTGAAAGTGCAATATATAATTTAATAACGGTTGTAATGATCATTGAAAATACAACATGTCTGGTATTGATTCGTCATATTGTTTCATAGTGTTGAATCGACAGTGTGTGAATGTTCACTATTTTGAAACGTACGTAAGTCACCCTATGCATTACGTTTACTTTCTTTTTCCAGGCTGAAACAACACTGGCCGCAGCTGTGACAGCTCGAACGGCAACTGTTATAGCAGCACCAATGGCAACCGTAACGAGTAAGGCCACAGCAACAACCTCGGCAGCATCACCGGTGAATATGGATGTGACGACTCAACCTCTTTCAGCAGTGAGTATGCTATTCCAGTTGATTATACACCACTGGCAGCTTGGTTTCCACTAACATTGAGACGCATGCATTCTCGATAGCTGGATTAGTCTTCAGCTTCGCACTCAGACACGGCTGAGGTCCTGACGCTTATTCTCAATTATCCCCAGAGTACCTTAGTGAGATTTCTTACCTGACTTTGGAGAATGATTCTGCCAATGTTTCCCGTAGCAACCCCATACGACTACTCGTATTTTGTTCATGTACCACAAGTGTGGATGTCGTTGCTGAAGCTATGAATCCATGTGGATCCAACGGGTAAATGAACCGTACTGCTTGGATCGGAGAAAGGGTCTAAGTATTGCTTGTTTCCTTGTAGGAGGGAAAAAGTACAGAAGCCGGCCGGTGTCGTCCAGGGGCGTTGGGAGGAGTGTCACGTGTAAGTAGAATGCCATGCATGTTTTAACTAATTGATATTAATGGGCTCTTGCATTCGCTTTGGGTATATGACATATGCAGTAACAACTACAATGTTGACTATGACGTAACAATGCTTACATGTTTCTCCTTCCGCATTTGAACCGAGCCTTTCTTTCTTCAGATGTCATTATCACACAACAGAAATGGACAACGTTACGTGTCTCGGTCAATCATCGGTCACCATCCTTAGCACTCTTCTACCGTCAGCCGCCTAACTTGTCATCCTCAGTTGGCATCCATCACCCCAGTAATCCCAGTGATCAACCACACGCTGCCACCAGTCCCTCCATGACTGCAAGCGACCATCCTCCTGTTACCTCTCCAGGTATGTACAGTTATGATAATCAAACCATTCAAAACTTTTGAGAATCATTTCCTGATTGCAGATAATTTTATTTAACTTGGTAGCTGTCTTGCACTGTTTTTGGTTCGCTTTCACAAAACTATTCCCCTCTGAATATCAAAACCATCATTAAGGAACATTACAAGTTAATTCATCATCTCTAACAAGATCTTTACAATTATTCTTATCCTAACAAAATACTATCTTTTTCTCCTCAGGTGTGTTGAGAGTCCAGAGCTTCAATACCTCCACCATTTACACCGTACATGTGCAGGAATATTACCACTTCATATACTCTATAATAATTCCCACGATCATGCCATCCAATTAGGATGCGAATTTATTGGAGTAATCACCGCTTCCTTTCACATGACCACCTCGTTGATGGTGTATCGTGTACCTGCTGATAATCGGGAAGCTTTGAGATGTTGAGGGGTGTTTCATGTTTCATGGCTCACACTCCTGCATGAAAGACCCGCTAACACCTTCTAGTTGAACGATGACTTGGTGGTATCCGTAAGCATTGTCTCAAGTTGGCTGTATTTGGTGAATACTTTGAACGACAACTGTCAACATTCAATACCATTGCCACGAGAATGTCAGATCATATTGATATTTCGTTTACATTTGAACTGTATCATGGTTCAGTTTAATGTATTTTACTAATCCACCATATACTAAACGTAGAGGTTGGAGTATCCTAATCATGTGCGGTCATGTGGTTGGTATCATGAAGTGCGTTGCTTATTTTACCTGTCTTATCGGATCCACGTCTGTCGAACACTGTCATCAGATGCAATAAGCGGACCACACAGCCCTGGGCCTACCAAAATTGACAATGTCTAGGATCTCGGCCAGAGATGCCTCACTCACTGCGTGATGAAACTCCAGATCTTGGCCAACCACTGAGACACTCATTCCGATTGTGCGTGCAGACCTTAGAGGACTACAAACATGGACATAGTCCTGTAACTCGGCCAGATGCTGTCAAACATCAGGTCTCAAGCATGGATGTCTGATTCTCGAAGGTGAGCATTCATTTCATGATCTAATCTACAAATAACCCTGCCAAATGGCCTATACCCTACCAATGAAAAAGCAATCATTGAATCAGCCCACTGTGCGAAATAGCCACTGGCGCTAGCCCGTTGCTAGTAAAAATCCTGTCGGGCCAGTAAATCTCCAGAGTCACTGACCCGATTGGCTAGTGAATTTTCATATGGTCAGTTTGTTAATATATCACTCTCTCCGACTTGTTCAGTTGTAATGCACGTTTAATGTCCATCATATTAGCAGCTTAATGATGAAACCTGTGTCTACATTTAAATTTCGTGCTAGTGAATTATTTTGTGGGCAAGTAACTTTCAGGCATAGCTAGCCCGACTAGCTAGCAAAATTTAGAAACTATCTCGCACTCTGAATCAGCCTCGGATATTTCATATTTGATTCGTGTGTATATATTCAAAAACCTATACCAGAGTGTATGCAAGAAGGATGGCTTCAATTTTTCAATTCTCAGACGAATATCAAAACAAGTTTCCATCATCTTTAAGAAGAGCTTTATAATTATTCTAGTCCTAACAAAATGTTATCGTTTTCTCCCCAGGTGTGTTGAGAGTCCAAAGCTTCTTTACCTCTACCATTTACACCGCACCATGTGCAGGAATCCATACCACTTCATATACTATTATATAATGATTCCCACGATCACAGTATCCGATAAGATGTGAACCCAATCTCCACTTCTGTTTTCATAACCAAGAGGGCTCTTTAGGATTATTTGTTCAGCCAAATCGCCCAACTCTTTGATGGTGTATCGTGTACCTACTGATAACCGGGCAGCTTTGAGGTGTTGAGGGGTGTTTCATGTTTCATGGCTCACACTCCTACATGAAATCCCCGCTAACACCTTTTAGTTGAACGATGACTCGATGGTATCCGTAAGCATCTTCTCGGGTGGTTGTATTTGGAGAGCAGTTTTAAAGGCAACTGCCAACAGGAGATTCAATAACATTGCAATTAGAATGTCAGATCATACCTATATTTCGGTTACATTTTGAACCGTATTATGTTGCTCGGTTTATCGTAGTATTTTACTTATCCGTGATGCTAGGAATAGATGATGAAGTATGTTCCTAATCATGTGTGGTCATATGGCTGGTATCACGAAGTGCTTTGCTCATCTTACCTATCGGATCCACTTATGTCAAATACTGTCTCATGGAATGCAATATGCGAAACAGTCCCCAGTCTACCAAAATGGAAAAAGTCTAGGGCATCATCCACCAGAGATGGTTCAAATCCAGATCTTGGCCAACCACTTTGATAGACTTCCCGATGTCTGCCAACCACTAATATCTACGTCCAGATCTCTGTCGACAACAAACATGGACCTAGTCATGTGACTCGGCCAGATTATGTCAAACATCAGATCTCTAGCATGGATGTCTCCAGAAGGTGAATTTCAAGCAATACATGCAATAATGTTTCGAAATTGTAGTTTCCTTTTCTGTTTACGTATTTGTTCCCAAATTTTTCATTCTTTCCATCATCTTATCTACAAAACCCGATCAAATCGCCTATAGCCTACCAGTGGAAGGTGAACTTTGAAACAGCCTCAGGTGTTCTATATTTCGATTCATATATATTCATAAACCTGTCCCAGACTTTCTGACAAGAAGAATGGCTTCATCTTTCAAATAGTCAACTTTCCTTTATATCGGGCACTATCCAAGCATCTTCTGCCTTTGGTACAGAGATTGCACAAATTTGCAGGCAAAGCCACTCATACATGCTCTTCATAATAATTCAAATACCCACAGAATGTTTGTTGGGCGCTACGTACATTTAATAT